TATCGACAGTAGTGAGCAGAAAACGGCTCACACTAGTGAAAACATGCCGCGAAGGTATCAGGTATTGCTAACACCGTTGATTAGCGAAGCGATGAAATCCGACCTACACTTTCGCGGGGGGGGGGAGGGGAGAGGAATAAAGTTTTCGGGAAAGCCACCTGACTTGTTTTGGCAGATTATAAAACTGGCTATCAGTCAGATGTTGTCGCAACAGGTTGCTCTTACGGAGGCAACACGCATAAAAGACTACTGAAAACAAGAAGCCACACTCAGGTCACGTACAAATACGGCTTTTCAGAGACTTCCATCATAGATATTGTTAAATACCGCAGCCTCTCTCTGGCCAAGATATTTCAGGATGATACTCGTGGTCTTGTTCATAGGGGTTGCTTGTTTGGAAAGGAAGGCAAAATCTCTTTGCTACCTTCATTACAAAAAAGGCGAGCTATGTGCAGAAATACTTGCTAGTATGATCAATAAAAGTGGTTTTTACTCCCACAAAAATCCACGAAAACCACTCGGATCATTCCCAGTGAACAGTGTGCTTGAAAAGACGATTGTACAATCTCTCCGTTTCGAGATGATGAACTGTGTGCAATTCATTGGAACCGCTTAAATTTCACAGTAAACCGTACGGGTTTATGCCTAGCAATCCATCCACGCGGAATTCTATTTGTTCTGCCAACCTAAGAGCCGCCACAACTGCAAATGACCCGGAAAACTATGTGAAAGGTGTAACCCAGCCGAACTTAACTTGGTAACAATAACATTCGGTCAAAACGGACCCAAATATCATCTGCCATAGCACAACCTATCCTGAATACAAGCCATGTTGGTTGACCTCATCGTAATTCCAAGTGCGTTCGTTTCAATCAACTAGATGTTGGCCAGTCGCCAGAGGCTAGTCTTGTATGAATCAATAAAACTTTAGAATAGTGTCTCGTTGTCAGGAGCACAGTATCTCACCGGACAAAGGTAGCTTCGAATAAATTACCTCACAATCCGTTCACACTACTATACTATTGAGAGTAGCAAAACACTGAAAAGAGAATCCATGGCACCTTGGTTTATCCCGGCTGAGTGATTCGCTACAAACTCCATCCGATGCCTGCTACATTAAGCTGAACGACGTATGAGGAGTTAGTATTCAAGCGTGCAAAGGCTGGTTTGTGAAAAACGCGGCTAGAATCCAACATCTTGGTCGGTACTGTAGACCCGCAGTCAGGCTTTGCAAGCGTTCAGCTGTAGCACCCTTCCGGTGCCTAGCAGCCATGCCACCCGAAGGAAGCACGAGGGCTGGGATACTGCCAGGTCGCCCAAGCCTAGACAGGCTTTGCAAGAGGTGGCCATTAGCTTGTACACAAAGGAGCTGCGATGGATATGCGTACTGTCATGCAAGGAGGCATTGGCCAGAAGGCCAGGATTCGAGGAAATCTGTCTTCCGTACAAATTAGTCTAACTCAGCTATGGAATACATATCCAAAGCATGGACCATCGCCATCCGGTACACCTGCGAAACCGGCGCGAAGCCGAAATACAGCACGGTGCGTTTATAGGCAAAGCAGGAGGTAACTGCAGGGTGATTACCACGTAGTCACAATGAAAGTTTTCTGTAAGAAATCAGGCGGGCAATGTTCTGAACCGGTTCTCAGCAGACTGTGAACGATTAACAAAGGACACAACACACCCTAAGAGATCATGGTTCGTGGTAGGCGCTGTTAAACTACGCACAGCCTAGTAAACTGTTATGCGCAACGTAAAAGTCCATGAACTACGCAGCCATCCGAACACCATGATATGTAGAAACCACTATGTGATACCAACGTATCCACCGGTTCGCTCCACGTGAAGCAATTCAACAGGGCGGAAGAAGATCCGAGGCGGTGTTAGGTCTTTGACAACCGCTACCGCAGAATCAGACCTCACAGCGGTTGCCTCACCACCAAGGTAACCTCGTCACGTTTTACGCGTGCCCGTCATACAAGTGCACAAAGGGCGACATGGCATAAACTAAAAAAACGGAAAAATAAGGCACGGATGACCTTGGTACTACTCGTTCATCAGTGTCAGGTATGTGGGCCTCCTCGGTTTGCTTGGATGGAGACATTACAACACACGACCGTCAGAAACTCTTAGTAACTTTCTTGCTGTCGTTTACTATCAAGACTGTCTGACAGAGTTTAGAGGTGAAGCTAGTTCGAGACACTCACAATCAGGAACCAGGTCTTTTCCGGAAATCACAGCCGCACGGCCAGAAAGTATGGGTCTACCACAGCGATAATAGTATCTCTACAACAGAACACGGTAAACACAATTGCCCAGTAGTAAAACGACGAAAGGCACGTCCACAATTCACTGTGCCTGGGGAACCATGAGTGGTCAAATCTACGTTGACAGAACCGATAAGAGACAGATGCGTATTCATTAGTATTCACTGTGGCACAATGATGATACGTAATAATGGTTCAGCTGTTACACTTTTTTGGTGCCTAGCATGAAATAGCTCAGTGGGTAAGACACCAGACTGGATCGGAAGGGCTGTGGTTCGAACCCAAACATTAGCATCTCAACTGCTCCTGTCTATGCTTGGGCAACCCGTCAGTATCCTAGCCCATGTGCCTCCTTTCGTTAGCATGGCAGTTAGGCACTTAAAGGGTGCTACAGCTAAAGGATGTGACTTTTTGGATGCCTAGTTTCCATGCCATTCTGGAGGGGTACAGTTCACAGTCATTAACGTTTGAGTGTATGACGCCTCCTCTGTTTCACACACACTAAATGCACTAGCCAAGTTCACGCTGCTGAACAATGCATGATTATGGAACTGACAGAGTCAACGAGAATAAAAAACCACTCCAGCTAGCCTACTTCAATCATGGCCTTGATTTGCCGATTGTACGAAACGGAGCCATACGAAACAGGAACGGTGCGGGACAAACGATTCTCCGCTTCACTCGGTTTGTCCACCGTCATCGATTCGGCGTTGGGTTGTGGGGCTTGTGGTTCAGCTACACAGTTCACATCACCAACGGAATAGGGACCCTTTGTTCGTACCGGAAGGCATGGCGGGTAGGGAATATTTATTTCTGAATAAACTTGTTTTGGATCTGCAAGAACGTATAGAACGTAAAGTAATGAAAGGTTGACTTCCACGTGCTGCAACACACAAATGAGTTAAGTTGTACTGGCGGTCAGAAGGCCGGTAAGTGTTTTGTTGAACGGATAGTGTTCAAGTAGCACAGGGTGAGACTTTTTGGTCAACTAATTCGGTGACCTTGTAAAAATGATCCCAAAGGGGACCGGAGATTAGTCATTTCCTTTTGGAAGAAGAAAAATAGTTTGAGCGAAATTGGAAGCCAAAAAGGAGCAAAGGTTGAGGTCATTGGGTGCGTGAATGTTGAAAAATTTGGTTATAAGCACCAAAAGAACATCAACCTTGCCAAGCTGTGAGAAGAGGTAAGTTTACGGGCCACATAAAACGCACGCCCGATGATGTTTTTTCGGACCTGTTGACTAGAGCTCCTCAGAACTGTAAAGCACTATCCGAATAACGCTCAGATTGTGTGCAAAGGTAAACCATCTATATCACCAAATTATACACAAGATAGAAGTGCCTTTAAGAAACGTGCTTTGGTTGCACCAAGTAACAAAAGCTCCAGAAAGACCGCAAACGTGCCAGCACTGTAAGGCAATGAGTGTTATCGGGTTATTTATCACAAGACCAATTGCCAGAATAGAAGACAGAGGAAGAATTGGTGTCCGAAACCAGTAGCATTATTATGGAAATGGAAGTATGCGGATGCGTGGTGCATTCAGCATTACTGTCGCAGCCCTTCTAATTTTGTCATGTACTGCATGGCAACGACCCGAAGGTGGCCAGATCATGCAGGGCTTATTTTGAAGTCAGATAGTTTAGCAACCATCAGTGTTTTATGTACGAACCAAAGGATGCGATAAAATAAGGAGCGGAGAATTGGAAACCAAGACAGCCACAAAATGAATGGCATTCTAGCATCATACCTACTGCATACCAACCTTTGATCTAGCAGAACAGAGATCCACTTGCCTCCAACACACTTTCCGGATGCGGAGCGCATACCATGCACCAGAATTATCGAGGTTATTTAAAAGTTGGTATTTCTAAGTGTGATCCAGGATCCGGCGTAATCACTGTCCGTGGGCAAAAACCCCGGAGGTAATCCGATATCCGAGGTGTTGAAGGCTGGTAAAGAAGTCTCACACGGAACTAAAGCGCCAGTGCTCTGGTGTTGTTTTCAATGATGACTATGAAAGAAAACCTTTGAAGTCAACTGGGCAATTAAATAAGAAGGGTGACAGAGGACACCGCTGTCTGACACCATTGGATGTGGTGAACTCATGAGAGTTTGTCACAGATACGTAAGCGTCTCCGCCGTCCAGCTGTAGCACCCTTTCGGTGCCTAACTGCCATGCCACCCGAAGGTTGCACGA